CTTTTCGGCGAGAAGACCCACCGGAGAGGGATGAAAAACGCAGCCGCATGTTGGCAGGCCGTCTCCGACGGTGTTCGTAGGCAGCACGCATGCGGAGGCATATGCCGCAGCGGGCGTGGACGCCATCGATCACTTATCCCTCAGTGCTGGCTCTTGCTTCTCGACGGCGTCGGGCTCACCGGCCATGTACTCGACAGGCTCGTCGTCGTTGTCGGCGGATTCGAGTCTGAGATAGATACCCCTTACACGCAGTTGTCCTTTCCTCTTTTCGCCCGGGACCTCGGGGGAGCCGTGTGCTCGGGAGTCTTTCACGGTTCGCGTGGTGGATGGCGACCACAACGAAGGGGTGGACGGCACGCAAGGCAAGCGCTGTTCGACCTGCGCCGCCGCCTCGCAATAAGGGCAAGAACAGGCCGCCGCCGCCGCCGCCGCCGCCGGCCCTCATCTTAAGTCAACTCCCAGCTTTAAGGACAAAACAAATCTCAGAAGCAGGGCGCCCCACAGATACATAAAACTGACGGGGGGATACCGATCTTGACGACACTTCCCTGTGCTAAGGACACCAGAAGAAATAACAAACAAACATGGGTAATATCCTTAAGGCGGGGCCGACTATACTGAAATCTTACCTTCGGTATTTTCTGTTCTTTTTGTTACGTATGTCGGCGTCGACCGCGCTAGCCATGTGTGACGTGTTGTTTCTTTTCCTGCTCTGATTTCACTGTTGCAGAGAGAAGTCGATTTTGTTGGTGCTTCGTGAGGGAACCTCTCTACAAAATGTTCCACGGAAAGAGGAGCACCCTTTTGTCGTTCTCGCAGGCATGGCAGTAGACACGTACGTGCGTGCCTCGACCTGCCCATGTCTTTTTAAGCTCCGAAGGCCACATTTTCGTAGTTCTGGTTGCTCCGCGTGTGACCAGTCAATAACGCATGCCAAAGAGCGGCCTTTGGCCGACGATATTTTGAGGTATACACATACCAATTGCAGGCGAGCCAAAACATGTGTCTTGCTGGCTGCACACGAGCCAAAAAACATGCTGTCTCGAGGGGCTGCAAGAAGGCCGCTCAGATCTGCATATATTTTCGCATGTAGATCCTTCCCCGAGAAATTGCTGCCGTTGTTGAATAAGTGGACTTATTCACTGCGGGCACATCGGGGATAAGAAAAATAGAGAAATTGGATGGAAGACACCCGGGCCCCTCCCCGGATGCACATCTCTTCTCCAGAGCAAATCGGGTCAATATTTTGGCCATGTTGCATTCACCGTCCTGAGCGCAAAAACAGATTTTCACTCTAGTTTTTGTTCGCCGTAGATGAGTGGTTTAGCCCACCGAAGAAAAAAGCTACTTGGAAAATTACATGTTGGTTTGGTCTTGCACCGGAGGAAGCAAAAAATTAGCTCACAGTACAGGAAAGGCAAGAAGAAAAAATTGAGAAAAAAAAACGGGAAAAAAATCAGAACGGGAAAAAAGACGGCGCTGCCGGGACTCGAACCCGCGTGTGGACACTCGAAGGCTGGAAGGGTGCAGAATACTTTTTTTTTTTTCCCTGATGCGTTGTCTACCCTGCGGATCCAAGCTGCCATGCATTGAACGTAATACTATAATGCATACAGTGTATGCCTAAAAAACATGTCTGCAATGCGTGTGTCGACCTGCATATGAATATGCTTCCTCAAATTGTTCGTCTTGTGGACGTCGCTGCTTTAACTTCCAAACTAGTACCTACAGCAGGCAACGGCTACTTCGAGTTTAAGTCATTTTTTGGGTCAGGCTGGATTCACGCGAGGAAGTAACAAGGTATTTGGGGCCTCCGCGTGTCCTCAATTTTCGAGGAAAATCCACTCATCATAAAAATGAACTCAGAAGAGCCATTACCGCTCATGAGTAGCGTGAAACGGCTGGTTTATATATAGATGAGGATCCTAAACTCACCAATTTGGTCTGCGCCAAAACAACAAAATTGCACTTACGTGTTTTTTTCTCATTTTTTTTCGACCGTTACTTTGGTGATAAAAGTGTGTGTGATCTGCTGTACGTTCGTGAAGGCTTTGGTACAGACGTTTCAAACCGCACGACCAACAAAAAAAAACAAAAAAAAACACCTACAGTACACTCTCTTTCTTACGCGCCACACTACTGCAATTATATGGGAAAACAAAAAGGCGGCTGTCATTTAATATTGGTGTGAGAGTAGGCACACCGGATAAATTGCGCTGCACACCTATTATTTGACCCAGTTTACGCCGTGCGAAGAAGCCAGAATAACCATGTAAATGAACACAAAATCTGAGATGAAATAAATCTGGGGCGGCGCGATGCATATATTCAGTGACAAAACAAAAACAGCAGCAAGCAGCACATGCTGCCGCGGTGAGCTACTCACATGCCGCCTTTTGCTTTCCCAGAGCCACATAGAAGCAAGGGAGCGATGCAGTCAACTCGCAACTCCCAAATACATGATTGGCACGGTTATGTTGCGCTCGCTATTAATTCATCCCAACCACAACAATTTCTTCCAGATAAAAAAAGAAAAGAATAAGAAGGCCATTTACTGCTGTACGCGTTGATTGTCCGTGAATTGAGTGAAATTTCACCTGGTGTAGAAGCTGTCCCAGGTGCACCAGCCGAGGTAGTTTGAAAAATCGGGAGATGTCTTGTCCACCTTTTTGCTGATCACCTCCGATTTCTGTGGGCATTTAGAATTAGAGGAAAGTTGAGTCGCAGCTTGAAAAAGAGCCCGGGAAACTTAGACAAAAAAAAGAAAGAAGAAAAGCGTCAACAACCCATCGTTTTTCGGCCCCTGCTTGATTGACCCAGATGTTTTCTTGTTTTCCATTTTCTTGGTGACACGCATAAATCAAATGTAGTTTCGCAAGTCGGTTCGAGATACACGTATAACGAGTGATCCCTGCGGAGTGGGGGCTCTTGAGAGCACAGGGTTGTCATCAAGGGGCGATCCAAGATGAAAACACGGCCAGGCAGCAGGACGAACCCACAACTGACATTCTTCTCGAAGAGCCCAGCGAACGAGAACAACAAAAAGAAAACGATCTACAGTCCTACGTAGTACTGCAGTAGCAGCGTCTTGCTGGAAGACAATGCTGTCCGTATTCGTTATCGCATTTTTTCTTGCCGTCCGTGTTTGTTCACTGTTGTCTTTCCCTCAATAGCCGCGACCCTACGTCCACTAGATACCTCTACAACTTCTCCCGATGGGTTCAAACAAAAAAATCTCCATGGTGACCTCTAAATAGGCTACATGTACACAACAACAACAAAGGCGCAGAAAAAAAAAAAAAAAACCCAAAACAGTCTCCCCACTAGGTACGTAACACGGTGTGGCGAACAGACCCATCACGCGCAATAAAAAAAATCGTTGGATTTTTAGTGTGGGTTCTTCATCCCTGACTCCCTTCTCCTCACCTTCCACCTGGAGAGCTGTTTTTCGGCATCGTGCACGAGACCTGGGACAAGCCCCCCCGCCCCAAAGGAGCCCGCCTTGACCTGGTTCCTCAGTCGTGCGTTGACCAGCTTGAAACTTTTCTGCAGACCATCGCGGTACGCAAAGAATAGGGGGTGGCGGGGGGGAAAGGAATAAACGCATGGCGCCTTCCGCAACACCCGCACCTCAGTACTATACTATTAATAGCAAGCGTAGGAACTTCTTGAGATACAACAACAGCAGCCGCAAACGACATCAGTGACAGAACAAGAAAAACACCGCCACGGCCATCGCCGCCACCACCACCACCAACATGAACAACATCAACCACAACATGAACAACAACAGCAACAACAACAACAACAACAACAACAACAACAACAACAACAACAACAACAACAACAACAACAACAACAGCAGCAACCACATCAACATCGCCGCTACGAAAGCGATACAGTAGAAGAAAAAAAAAAAAAACGTCACGGCCATCGCCACCGCCACCAACGGCAACAGCAACAACAGCCACACGTGGATGGCGGGTGTAGATATGAAATACAGCAGAGTGACCTCAACTACAAAAGTATCGTGTTGCCCAACCGCCAACAAGAAACCCCGCTCAACATCACCTCAACGAGCTTGAACGGGTCCTCGTCCACTCCGACGTACAGTCCCGCCACGTCACTGCTGGGCACGGGAGTGTTGGGGCAGCCCGTCTCGGCGAAGAGCTGCAAGCTCCGGTCCGGCAGACCCTATGTACAGATAGGATAGGACAGGACAGGACACACAGCAGTTGAAGAAGCAATCGTCGTGAGCAGCGGCCACGTGACACTCGAAATCCCGCGAAAATGGGTGGGGTTGCAGCAGCAGCAGCAGCAGCAGCGGCAGCAGCGGCAGCAAGCAACACCAGCAATTAAACTCAAGACCTACTTTTTGATGCATACGGTGGCAAGTCTCTTTCTTTTTTTGTCCATTCACCTTAAGGTTGCACTTGGCCTGACCGTCGATAAGGGGGATGAAGAGCCCGTACAGCTGCCGTCCAGTCTCCGGATCTACCGAGGCGAGAAAACAGACGCGAAACGGCAATACGCAATACATGTTGCCGAAGGCGGCCCTGGAATGCGATCGTTTATTGAGATGCACATCTTGACGGGGGGCGAGACACGGAGAGAGGGAGAAACCATCCCACGTCACATCAACAGCGTACCGTAACATCTCTTTCCTGCACACGAATGTTCCAAGTAGAAAAGCTAATCATATTCCAAAGAGAGCCAACAGCTCGACAAATATACAACCGAAAAATATATATATGTATTCGCCATCCGAAGCGTCCGGGCAGCCCCTGCCCCCCCCCCCCCCCCCACCGCCTGCCTCGGTGGATGCCCCGTGCTCACCGGGCGGCAGCTTGGTCAGCATCATCTGCGTCTCCGGCGGAATCTCGTTGGCCTTGGTCGTGTGCTTGGGCATCATCCACCACAGCTTGAAGCGAGCCAGCGCCATCATGGAGGTGGCGTTCGGCCGTCCCACGTTCCACGTGCGAGTGGGGGCTCCGTCGTTCGCTGCTCGGTCAGGGGGGGTGCAGTTGGTAGTGTATTGAGGCCATCTCTACTCGTGGTATTTGCGGTTATCATGGTGTGCGTGTTGTACAAGCAACACTTGCTGCGGCTTTTGGGGATACCTCTCTGAAAAGTGTTTACGTAGGCGTGTTGCTGGTGTTGCCCGTCAAACATGCAACCTCCCACACCAGTTGTATGCATAGCTCTTGGTGGACAGATATGTGCGTATCTCCAACCCTCCCTCTCTAGATGCGTGGTCATTGGCCAAATGCCCTGTCCCGTCCGTGAGGCAAGCAGCAAACTAGTGCAATAGGTTACGGCCCCCGCCCTCCCTCCCACTGCTCCACGCCTGGTGGGGGGGGTAGCCAGAAAGAACGCTTCTGTCGTTCATCTCTCAACCCTGCACCCCCGCTTCGCACGCATAAAGCATGGCACGGGAAAAAAAGGGCCCCCGAATGCTGGCGGCAACTCCGGTGAAAAAAGCCATAACGAATTGAGCAGCGGTGGTGCTTCCCGCCTCGACCGTGTTACGCGGTCAACCGAAAATGAACTCCCCGCCTCCGCCCATGCGTGTCTCAATCTGTCGCACCTCGCGCGGAGGGGCATACCAAGACAGGACATGCAGATTTTCTCTCCCCTCATTCATCGACCCCCCGTCTAGGCCTCGCGCACCTGCTCTTAGGGATATGAAGGCGGCCCCGAAGCTCTCGTCCTCCTCTGATCTCAGCAGCTGCACGGCGTAGAGGATGTTTGGAGAGAAGGTGCCCGGCTCGAAAGGGGCGGCCTTGTACTTGCCGAGCTCTATCTTGACCCCTGCGATGATGATGATGATGATGATGATGACGACGCGGGTGTGAGATGGAAACAAACACATTAGACGCCGGCATGGAGGTGTGTTTTGTACGACAACAAGTACTCATTGGACGGCCATCGCCAAGCGTGGAGTTGGGTCGAAAGACACATTTTGAGTCGAGTGTGGGGGGAGGCAGCACGAACCTAACTCCCACCAAATATCGGCCACGTACGGAGACGAGGAGAGCGAGTACGCGGCAGTTGTGGTTTCAGCGGGAGCCAGTCTTGAAACCCTTTCGGCAAACGTACCGCTGCTGTATGCACAGCTTCGGACACAAACCGGGGGCCGCACACAAGAGGGAGGAAGGGCGGTAAACACCGTAGTCTCTTTCTTGCAACGTTCATCCACGCCGTGGCGTTGCCTTCGAAGCGCAAAGACAAAGGCATCTTACCCTACGGAGGACATATCGCTCTGTATGTTGCTCGGAGAGATCAGTAGGCCACGCAATACCGCCTCCCCTGAAACGACAAGCCAGTCAAGATGCGAGAAGGACAACTGGGTGAATGGGATCACCGTGCACGTGGGTGGAGGGATCGGCACCCACGCGGCGATGTAGCAGGTGTGTGTCGTCTCCTCGGCGGGCAGGCAGGCAGGCAGGCAGGCAGGCAGGCAGGCAGGCCAATCGCAAAGCCGCTTGAAACCAGGTACCGTATATGACACAAGATAACACACCCCCTGGACCGAATTGAAAGTTTCGATTACTCCAGATGAAGAGGATGCATAGACGAAAGAAATGATACGTTTTCAGATAACTCTCGACCAGACGGCTCCAACGCCGCCGTTTTCGGCCCTGCGACTATTGCTGCTGTTGAAAAAGTCGAGCTTTGAAAATCGGTCCAGGGAATGTGTTACCTTGTGTCGTATACGGTAACACGCTCACTCTTCTTTTGTTGGCGGGGCCAGAACAACCTCATGTGCTCCCATCGGGTATCATACAGTACTACAACATTCTCAATCGCAAAGGGGGCTTGAAGATGTATCAGCCACACCTGTTGTAGTCAACTTGCAAACCCTCAGCGAGCGATCTAGGCCAACCTTCAACAGCCGAAGCAACGATCGATACAAGATAGTCCTATGGAAGGAGCCATCCAGGACCGATTGTCAGCGATAATACCAACCTCACCAAAAAAGAGCAAAAAACAAAACAACAGCGGGCGACTTCAACCAACAGGGCGCAACTTACCCCCGGCCTTGCCCCCGGTCTTTCCCCTGGCCTTGCGGTCCTTCTGCATTTTCTCCGGGTTCTTCCTCTGTTTCTTGTTGGAAGCCTCTCCTGAGACGACAAGCCAGTCAAGATGCGAGAGGGAAAACTGGGTGAATGGGATCGAAGGGGAAAATGAAGAACTGGG